TGATGTGACATGCACACCCGTGTTGATGTGACATGCACACCCGTGTTCTCGTCTCCCTCTTGCTGTCTCTGTCTTTATTTCTCTCTCTCTCTCTCACACACACAAAGGGAATATAATTTTAAATCTTTAAGGGTGGAGGTTTTAAAGAGGAGCAAAACTGCGTTTCCTAATTTATCGTTTGAGAAGTGTGAGCGAGAAAATGATGGGAATGTAGAAAACACAATCTGTCTTCATCCTTTGTAAAGACAGTCAAGTAACTTTTCCTATGAGGAAAAAACCCATAACATGTATCATGCTACCTAGCCTTTCTTCAGATTTCATGTCTCCTTTATTAGGAATATTTTAAACCACATTTTACTATAAATGTAATCATACTAGCATCTTTTTTAAGAGAAAATATGCTGAAATTTAGCTCAGATAATTTACATGAGATTTTTATTTAAATTTTAAAACATAGAGCATGAATAAATTATGATTATTTATCAGAAATAATTATTTTGTATAATACAGAAGGTGGCGGATGAGTTCATGCTAAACTACCTGATTATTTTCTTATAAATTAGCATAACTTCAAGTTGACTAAAGAATTTTACTTTCAAAATTAATTTGATAATTATAAAAATATGTTCCTACTTACATTCAAATTATGAAAATTATTTTTTATTCAAGAATATATTCATCCTGATGTACATAGTAAGTTCCAGGTCAGAGCTATGTAAAGAGATCCTGTCTCAAAAATTATGTATGTATGTATGTATATGTATATATATATACACAAACACACATATATACATAAAACTTTTTCTATTATTTATCTCTTATATAATATGACAAAAGTCTTAATTTCAATTTTTATGGCATTAAGCCATTTAGTAATTATTCTATAGTGTTCCCTCCCCTAATGAGGTTTATTTCTAAAACTTAAGTGTTTCACATGGCATTTAAAATGCAGCTACTATAAATGTAATTCCTAACTCTACTGTAAGCAGCTGATTACACTGTATCAGTCTATGGAGTGCTGCTCTGAAATGGGCAAGCAGAAATAAAATAGAAATTGCTTTGTAAATTCACGACAAAACAATGTCTGTCTCATGTGTAACACACTTCAGTCCCATGTTACAGTTCTCTGTGACGTCAGGAAAATGAGTCGCTCAACCCTGCACTGTGCAGAACGCAGTAGGACAAATTCTGGCATATATTCAATCTTTGTGATTACCTAACATGAAAGGGTAGGGCTTCTGTTCTGAGCGTCACAGGAGCGAACAGGTTCTCCCACACTTTTGATGTGACAGAGTTGTGAAGTGTTTAATTTCCTGGGGTTCCGTGATTCTGTTGAACCCAACACGCATTCTAGGAATTGCTGGGCTGACTTTTCACTTTACAAATCACCATATTTCCCCAGCGCAGATCCACAGTGAAGGCAGACAGACCAGGAGACTTCCCAGTAGCTTAGGGTCGCTCCTGGTGGCTGGGTGAGCTAAGGTAACTCACAAAAGCAGGTACAAATGGCCTACTTGCAGGAAGTGTTCTCACAGAGATTTCCTTCCGAAGTTCTTCACAGTTGCACGTGTTCTTCCTTCGTGGCCTGCTTTCCTCACCCCTGAGCTGCTGACTGCTGTCACACCTCTTGGAGCGAGGTGTCCTTGTGACTGGTCCCTGTGATGAGGGCTGGCCTCTGAGGACTGCCCAGGGAAGTGGCTTGTGTTCTTTATGGCCCCTTCCATCTGACTAATGAGGTTGTGGATAAAAGCTGTCCCCAGAGGGTCAAGGCAACACTCAGAGGCAGAATCAAGGCTACTGGAAAACAGACAACTCCCTGCTTCTTCCTGTGTTTAAACAATTCTAATTTTGACTTTCTGTGTTCTGTGAAATCTAAATTTTATCCTTCCCAGTCTTTGGCACAATATTAATTTAGCATTCTTGAGTAAGTTAGACTTGTAATGATGCTTTTAGAAGATTTTAAATGATAATGTACAATTTACATTAAATTCATATTCTATTGTTAATCATACTTTTTTGCCTTTATCTTTCATTAGCTATTTTGTATTGGCTTGTATGGTTTTCTTTGTACAAATTTTCCTTGTACGTGTGTATTTGGTTTTGCTAATGGCCTGTGTCCTATAAAATATTGTTAATAAACTGTCATAATTTTATGTCATCCTCCTAGATATGCCTTATAAACATTTCAATAAAAAATATTATTTAATGTTTTAATTTTGCTTTTTTAATCTTACTGAGTAATGTGAATATTTGATAGAATTCATCTAGTATTTTGATCTTTGATTTTTTTCTTTCTTTTTATTTATTCTTTTGTCTTTCACATCATGCCTCCTGATCCCACCAATCTCCCTCCCCCTGCCAAAATAAAACAAAATAAAATCTGGAAAAGAAAGGAAGGGGGAAATCCTGTCATGGAAGCTGCAGTGTGACACGGTGAGTCACGCGGCAAACCCCTTTATCTGTCCATATTTGTATGCAGACATTTATCACGAAGACTCATTTGTCTGGTTCAAGGCTCCTGGTCTCTGCTACGTCATCGACTCTGGGCCCACACTGAGACTCGTCCTCGGCATCCAGTTGCTGCCCTTTGGAGATCCTGTGGCCCTGGGTCCACAGGATCGACACCCACACACACACCTGTGTTCTAGCAGATCACAGAAGGTGGATGTTGATGTGGGCTACGCATAACCCTGGTTCTGGGAGTGGGTAGTTAGTTGCAGGGTTGGTCAGCCCACCAGCTCTCCTCTGTCTTCGCTGCCGGGGTGAGCTCTCCGGCATTGCCCTGCCTAGTTCACCCCTTGCAGAGATGAGTAAGAGGTGGGGTTGGTTCTCCTTTCACACCCTCAGGGTTGGCGGTTCTCCCACACCGACACCTTCAGGGCCAGCTCTACTGTGTTGCCCAGGTGAGGTGTAGGGGCCGCTCTCCCAAGTGCTGCACCTGATGAGGGGCAGGGACCACTCTCTTGCTCTTAGGATCTCAGGCCCAGCTCTTCCACCTGCCTCAGTGGTGGAAGTGGGAGGGGCATCTCTCTCTGCCCCTGCTGGCACATAACAGATGCATAACGGGGACTGCTCTTCCGCGTTCACAACTTTGGGGCTGGCTCATGCATACCTTCTGCTAACACAGTCAAGTCTGTGCCCAGTGCTGGAGCTGCTATGGGAGGTGGGTCAGCTCCTCCCACCACAAGTGGCAGGAGCAAAGAGGGGGAGGGCACCTATCCCTCATCCTCACCACCACATGGCAGATGAGGGGTGTATGGCCAGCACCCCACTCTCATGCACTCAGGGGTACCTCACCCTTGACTCTGTCAACAGAGTCAGCTCCACTATGGCAAGGAACAGGGCCCACTTTCTGGAGAGCTGCAGACGGTAAGGAGAGGGTCGTCTCCCTTGTCTGTGGCAGGCTGCTGACAGAGGTTTCTGTCCTGCCAGATCCCGCAGCCATTCAGCCCCACATAAACACACAGAGGTCTACATTAAATATAAACTAGTTGGTCTATTAGCTCAGGTGTCTTACTACCTTACATTTGCCCATAATTCTTGTCTGTGTTAGCAACTTGACTTGGTACCTTTTATCAGCAAGGCAGTCTTATGTTGCTTCCTCTCTGTCTGGGTGACGACTGCAAACTGTGCCTTTCCTCTTCCCAGAATTCCCTTGTTTTGGTTGCCCCACCTATACTTCCTGCCTGGCTACTGGCCAATCAGCATTTTCTTAAACCAGTACAATTGACAAACAAAGATCATTGTCCCACAGTACTCCCCTCCCCTTTTCTAAAAGACAAGAACTCTGAATCTAATCTCCTTTATTTAGCTTTTTTCCTGACCATTATCCATAATAACTTGTAGCAGAGACAAACATCCATAATCCATTTTTTGGTAATGTGGGTGTAGTTTTCCAGGCTACTTCCTGCTGGTTGTGGGGTGCTGATAATCTTATGGCAACCTAAAGAAAATTTAGAATCATGATCAAGTCCTGACTAATATTCTGTGA